TTAAACGTTTTCTTCTGAAAATGCCTTTTTCTTTCCTTTTGTTCATAAATGCCTATTTCTGTCTAATTTAAAAATTTTCTGCAAAGCTTTTTGTGCTTTTGACCGAGCATAAACGCAAAATGACGAAATTTTGAAGTACAGAAATGGTTGACTGTCATCCGACGTATTGTAATGCATTTATAGAGATTAGGACTTTATTCCTTTTGTCTTATTAATATTTTCTCTCCGTCTCTTCGTGGCGTCACCTTCGTCGTGGCGTCACCTTCGCCCGATGCGCTTTGCAAGGAGAGAGAGAAAGGGAGTGAAAAGATTGGAGTTATTTTTACTTACAGTCAATAGAATTTATTCTTACTTACGGCCNTACTTAGTTTTTTTTCTTTTATAGATAGAAATAAGCATAGTTAAAATCTGTCATTAAATTGGATAGTAGGATTTTTATGAACATTGCTTTACTTTAAAAACAATTATTTTGGGAGAGAGAAATTTTTTGATAAAAGGTAAAAAAAAAAGAACACGAAAAAAAAATCCTTTACAAAATGCAAAATTGAGCTTGAATTTAAGGAAATTCAGTAATACTGGTTTTAAAATACTTGCAAGAACTTCGATATGAAATTTCTCTCTTTTTTTTCCTATTTCCCAGACTTATAAAGGAAAATTTATTTCCATCAGGAGAAAAAGGTTCATTTGAAATTAGAAAAATAGCATAACAAATCTTTAGCATTGTTGACACGAAAAGCAACACGAGTTGCTGGTCAAAGCCGACCTCTTGAAGACTTTCCTCGTATTTCTAGATATGAAATTTATCGACAATGAATAGTCAAACGATTAGGTGCTTCACTTAAGAGAGGGGAAAAAGTTTTATTTTGCAATATGATAACAAAAGGAAAAATATATTCTGACTATTTTACTCCTCTTAGCAGTTTTCCAGTTTGCCCATCACTGTATCATCCCTGGCTGTGAGTAAGAAAGATATTTCATAGTAGTTGTTCTTAGATTTCCAATATGATGGAATAAAAGCAACTAATGTAGATGTATAATGCATAAACGAAATGGAAATATAGATTTTTAAGTCTATAAAAATAAATTATAGTGTTTAAGAAAATGTATAATAAGCAATACAAGAGAGAAAATTGATATAAAAGTTTGATAATTTTCATTCAATGATTTTAAAACAAATAATCGTTGAAATAAAAAATGAAAGAACTTAAAATTAAATAGTAACAAATTTAAATAAAAGACTATGATTCGCAGCTTATCTTATAAATAAAACTTTAATCAAATTTATATACTACATTTTTGAACAAGAAATAAAAAATTATACTGTTAACGATCACTCCTCAGTTTACACTATGTAAATCTATCCGTTCTAATATCATGTAGTTTTCTTAAGAATCAAATATAGCTCATATAAAAAGCAATGGGAGCTGTGCTCCAGTCAAAATAAAAAATATCTGTGTGAGAACATCAAAAATAGAAAAATATACACATAATATTTCAAGTTAATTATAGATCAATAAAATTGCTTGACTACAATCACAAATTTTTCCATTTAATTAATAACATGAGAAATAACACTTCAGACCAAAAATAAAAGAACTTAAAATTAAATAACAAAAAAGTTTAATAAAGGACTAAGATTTGCAACTTATTTCACATAACTTTAAACAAATTTATATACTACATTTTTGAACAAGGAATAAAAAAATTATATCATTAACGATCACTCCTCAGTTCACACTATGTAAATCTATCCATTCTAATATCATGTAGTTTTTTTAAGCATCAAATATAGCTTACATAAAAAGCAATTGGAGCTGTGCTCCAGTCCAAAGAAATATTTGGGTGAGAACATTAAAAACAGAAAAATAAGTATACACATATTTCAAGTTAATTACAGATAAACAAAACTGCACAGCTGCAATCTCAAAGTTTCCCATTTAAAAACATGACAAATAACATTTCTGCCTAAAATAAATTTGAATGATCCCAACACATCCTTTTCATCTTAAGAGGTACAAATTTGCAAACANTTGCTCCACTTTTAAGTGCCTTTTTTAAGTGCCTATTTCAAGCTTTTTAAATGCCTTTTTGCCTGCCTATTTTTGCATTTTTTATTGCCTGAAATTCCGGGCTTTAATAATCAGGGATGAGATTGGCCAAAAGGCAAAAAAACTGAATTTCCAAGCGACTAAATTTTACACGCCCACAATCGTTTCATAATAAATTCCGGACAGTTTAACATAATAAATAACAATGTGTTGACGTGAAATTGTGTACTAATTTATTATTATATAAATTATTACATCGATACTTAACATTTAGTAAAAAGAAAAATTACCAACTCAAATAAAGCTAGAAATTATATTTTTCTTTAATTCACATAAGAGACAATTATTACTTGAAAAACTACCCGGTTTAGCAAATTAAAACTACTGAGAAAAAACATTAATATTCCATTTCTTTTAATAAATACTGTCACGTGATTTATAGCAAAAAACTTTTACAATGGGAATCACTATGTTCATATTATTATAATCTAATCTAACTAGAGCCCTGTGAAACATATCAATAATTGTGAAGTAGAAATATATAGTAACTCCTTATCATACAAAAATTGCTATTTTAGTTTGAAAAATTACATAATCAGGAAATGTTTAGATAATTATTTTTCATTAGATAAGAATTTTGCATTTTATAACATAAATAACAGCAACACTATTTTTTAAATTTTGGATTTTGATCCTGAGTTAATTAACTCTTTTTGAAAAGGAAAAAAAAAAATTGAATCATTTCTTAAGTGACTGCTTTTGTTTGCTATATCTTTTATGTTTGCTATATTTAGTCGTTAGCCCATCTTCAAACATCTTGTGACAAATCCTACTTTTTCTTCTTTGAAAGCACAGAATGTAGGTTTTAAATATATTCTCTTCCAGTTTCGCTGATGTTGTAACACCTACATATACTAATAATCGTCGATATAAAAACAGTCACCTTTATAGTAACTAATTCAAGAAAAAAATATTACTTATTATAAGAATCGCTATAATCGATCTTAAAATTGCGTGAATACAAATTGCGATCCGGGATATCAAAATCGTGTGAATTTAAATAAAGATTATGGATTTTGAAATCACATGAATATGAAACTAAATATACCATTTTGAAAATGAGAAAATACAAATTACGATATCAGATTTTTAAATCTCGTAAATAAGAATCACAATGTACGGTATTCAAATTGCGTGAATGAGAATCGCAACACGCAACTGTTAAATCACGTAAATACGAAAAGCTATGTCTGATATTAAAATCGCGTGAATAAGAGTCTAGATTATCAGATTCCGGGCTTGATGCTTTTAGAAGACTTGCTTGAAGCAGCGACGTCTGAATTATGAAAATACGAGTTATCTGGCGGGCGGGTAAAAATGAGGAACATCTTACCTTCTGCGCGAAAAAACGGAGAAAATAGCTAAAATAAGTACAAATGAGGAAGGGTTGGTATTTCAAGAGTTTGAATTTTCTGTTTACCTTTGAAAATCGGAAATAAATATATTTCAATGGCTGAATTTTCTGAAAAAGTGGAATATTTACTAAAAAAATTAAATTTTTTGAGAATTGGAGTTTTTGATAATAGGGCTGAAATTCGAGACAAAAGTGAAAAAAGTGGAAATCCGCTAAAAATTGGAAGAATATCATCCCTGGATAATGCATGAAAGAAATGGAAATATAGATTTTTAAGTCTTAAAAATAAATTATAATGTTTAAGAAAATGTATAATAAGCAATACGAGAAAGAAAACTGATGTAAAAGTTTGATAATTCTCATTGAATGATTTTAAAACAAATAATCGTTGAAATAAAAAATGAAAGAACTTAAAATTAAAGAGCAACAAAGTTAAATAAAAGACTATGGTTCAAAGCTAATTTTATAAATAAAACTTTAATAAATTTATATACTGCATTTTTGAACAAGGAATAAAAAAATTATATCATTAACGATCACTCCTCAGTTTACACTATGTAAATCTATCCATTCTAATATCATGTAGTTTTTTTAAGCATCAAATATAGCTCATATAAAAAGCAATGGGAGCTGTGCTTCAGTCAAAATAAGAAATATTTGTGGAGAACACCAAAAATAGAAAAATATACACATAATATTTCAAGTTAATTATTGATCAATAAAATTGCTTGACTACAATCACAAATTTTTCTATTTAATAACATGAGAAATAACACTTCTGCCAAAAATAAAAGAACTTAAAATGAAATAACAAAAAAGTTTAATAAAGGACTAAGATTTGCAACTTATTTCATATAACTTTAATCAAATTTATATACTACATTTTCGAACAAGGAATAAAAAAATTATATCATTAACGATCACTCCTCAGTTTACACTATGTAAATCTATCCATTCTAATATCATGTAGTTTTTTTAAGCATCAAATATAGCTCATATAAAAAGCAATTGGAGCTGTGCTCCAGTCCAAAGAAATATTTGGGTGAGAACATGAAAAACAGAAAAATAAGTATACACATATTTCAAGTTTATTACAGATAAACAAAACTGCACAACTGCAATCTCAAAGCTTCCCATTTAAAAACATGACAAATAACATTTCTGCCTAAAATAAATTTTAATGATCCCAACACATCTTTTTCATCTTAAGAGGTACAAATTTGCAAACAATTCTTACAGAACACAAGGCAAAGTATATTTGACAAAATAAAATTATTTTGTTTCACACACATATATACATGTATATATACATTAAAAAAGTCGCAATAGATCCCTGATTATCCAAAAAAGCCTCAAACAGATATAAATTTTGATGCAGAATAGCCCTAATAATACTGTCTTGTTATAAAAAAGATGGTTTTGTTTATGAATTACAATCTGAGTGTGGAAAAATATCTTTAAAAATAGCGACAAAAAAGTTTTGTCTTAACTTTAATCTTCTATCTGGAGTGCAATATTTCAAAAATTAATGACAATAACCAGATAATATGGGGCGAGAGAATTTTCAATCAAAAAATTAGCTTCAGTAAACAGAGGTTTTTTGAATAATTTAGATGTTACTGTTTGAAAACCTTCATCACTATTCACATAAAGAATCATTAGGAAAAAGTAATAGGCTTTAATTAGCAGTTCAAAATAACAATCAGGTAATTTTTTGTGCAATTTTAGACAACTTATAAGTGAGGGAAACGAAGAGCTAAAAAAAATAGCGTAATCCACTTCTTTGAAAACTTTTTGAGCAGTATATTTCTTTAATACAGAAATAGATATATTGATACAAATATAAATCTAAATAGATTTAAAAGAAACTGATAATTATTGCTATTTTCAAGCAAGAATATATTACTCAAAGCTAAATTGTATAAGATATCTGTACTAAAGAATAAATGTACACAAAAATAAATATAGGGTTAATTAGCTTACTACATTGTTATCTGGAAACAAAGAAATAAAACAACTAGGAAATTAAATCATTTCTTAAATTAAATGGACATTTAAAAGTACTTTAGATTTTGCGATAAATGAAATGTATATGAAATGAAAAACAATGTTTTCACTGGAATTTGATAAACAAGAGGGGAAAAAAATTATAACTCAAAAATGTTAATAAGTTTTTTCTTAAAATAATTTTCCAATTAGCAAGCAGACATATTAAGAAAAATATTTCAACAGCAAAAATGAAACAAAAAGCAGAAAAAATATTTTAAGTGATAACAATAAGAGGACAGACCCTAAGTTCGAACTATGGTAAGTTAGCGAATTTTAAGAATTTTTCTTAAGCATACATTCATCATACGTAACATACATTCATCATACATAACATACATTCATCATACATAACATACATTCATCATACATAACATACATTTATCATACATAACATACATTTATCATACATAACATACATTTATCATACATAACATTTATGATGCATAGCATATATAACATTTATGATACATGACATAGATTTATACATTAAACATACATTTCTGTTAACATAAACAATAGGATACTATCATAGCTTTTAGGTCAAGAGCCTTTTACTTGATTTGAAAAGAGGTGCTAAATGAGAGAAGAAAACGATTCAAGGGGTTAGGTTAATTATGAAAATTTTGGTTCCAATCCAGTAAATATTAAACATTTCTAATAGAATACACTAAAAGGATATACATAATTCCATGAATCATAATATATTTATAAAAATACTTCAAAAGTTCTTTTTCTTTTATAGAAAATTAAACTGTTTTACAGAACATACATATTCATGAAATGATACATAAGCAAAGTAAAACGAATAAGACCTTGTATACGAAAACAAAATATAAATATAGCTTTATACAGGGTGCGTAGCCAAATTATTCTACAAAAAATAAGCACCTTTTAATCACTTTTCAAGCACTCAAAAAATATTTTTAAGCACTTTAAAAAAATATAATTAGGCAGGGTTGGAAAGTTTTTGACAATTGACGGTTTTATCTTGTTTCAACCATCATGTAAAAAAAAAAAAAATTTGGCATTGTTTTTGACAATTGTCAAATAATGAAATTTTGAATCATGTAAAACGAATGGCGTTTTCATACGCTACGGACTGACAATATGCCGAAATAGATTGGGGTTGAATTAATTGTGAAAACGTTGAATAGAACAATCTGAACTGTATCTTTGTGCATATTTTGAAGCGAAAATCAACATAGTAAAGGAAAAATCTCACTTTGAAAAAAGGAAAATTAAGCATTTTTTAAAAACATCCAATGTAAAAAGCACCTTTAAGAGCTTTTAAAACACGAAAATCAAAAATAAGCACCTTTAAGCACTTTTTAAAAACGCTACGCACCCTGTTTATAAATCAGAGCAACAAAATTATATGATGTACAGTGTGCAAAAAAAAAATTAATAAATAAATAAACTTACCACTTTAAATAATTTTTGATCTAATGATGTCATGTTTTAGGACTTAATCTAAATAATTTTTCATCGAATGTTTAAGGACACAATCTTACTGGTTCAAGGAGGTGACTTCAAAACAATGTATTCAAAATAAAAATTAACAGCAATAATATGTTTCCTTCATTCATAACATATATCAAACACCGGCTGATTTAATAAAAATTAATAATTAATTCTTGACTTCTTTAACGTAGAACCTTTACTGTTGCCAATTGTTTCCGGTGGTGTTGGTGGAATTGATTGAGAAAAAATATCATCACTATCATCACTGTCTTCATGGTTGCTACATTCTTCTCCATGCATATCTTTCAATAAGATTTTATTTTCTTCAGACAATAAATTACCATGACCTGAATTAAACGATAAAATGAGATACACAAAACAGTAGTTTTAAAAGTAACCAAAAGCAGCACAGTAATAGTTAAAATAAATTTTAGAATTTTTTCCCTCTGTTTGTAAAAGTGCAGAAATTAAAAAAATTTTAATTTTTTTCACATATTTTAGAAAAGAAAAAAAAAGAGTAAATGAAGAAATTTGGGGAAAAGATTGAAAAAAATATTAGAACAAGTTTATATTTTGCTGCTAAACATGCATAACATATTCAGTTGTGGGCTAATCTAGCTAAATATACAATTACGCGATGAAAAAAAAAATTTTTTTTAAGATAATCGAGAGTTTTCTTAACTACGTCATGTCATGTTAAAGTAAGTCCTATCCCAAGTAAATACAAGGCCCTACTAATATCCAAGCACCTAAAATAGTAACACTTTTTTTCATAAGGCTTAATTTAATATTTTTTAAATTGATTGCGATATTTTATGAAAATTTTTATAGGATAAAAATACAACAATGCTTCAGAGGATTTATAATTTTCGAACTAAGACGTTTCATAGATTAGTTCTCAGTATAACACACATAAATAAAATGGTCTAAAATGATTTTTCCAAGTTGTCAGCACATTTATATGGCCAGAAAATTGGTGAGGTTCCTTAATTAAGAAATAAATTATTCATTTTTTCATTATTTAAAAGCATTTACTTGTAATGTTTATTATCCATTCTTAATATTATTCTCTACTATTGTTATGATTTGATATTTTATTTTTATCGTGCAAATTAACAGTTTAAAACTAAAATTGGTATTCTTTTACAGGGTATACCTTATACAGGGTATCTGCTAGATTTTAGATTTTCAAATTCACGACTTTTCATGACTAATTCCAAGAATTTTTCACGATTTAAAGAAGTTACGATTTCCTATGACAAAAACAGAACAATAAATTTAAAAAAGCCTTATAATAAAATTAATTTAAATGATAGGTATAACCAAAACTGTGTTGCTCTGCATCTTCTTATTTATAGATTTTAAATTTAAAAAACAGAGTAAAAATTGAGTTGAAGCAATAAAATGACTGAAAAAAATACAAAAGTAATTATTTTTTTGTTTTTTTCTGCAGAATTATATTTTAAAGATACTTTTCTTGTTCATCAGAAAAGAAAGAAGATTTTTCTGTTCTCCTATTGAAATAAAAAAAATTAACCAATGACTGACTTGCTTCATCTAGAATTTTAAATTGATAAAATAAAAAAATAAAAATAATAACAAAAATTCTGAAATCACGGAAGTTTATAAGATAATTCGATCTAGAAATGATGTTTTTTCTATCATTTTTTGAAAGAAAACCATAATCTCTAAAGAACATGATAAAAACATTTTATATATATTTTAATAAAATATGACTGTGAGTGGGGATTTTGTTACAAATTCAGATATTCGGAACACCATGAAATTGGGGGGGGGGGATTCCATTTTAAAAATTAAGACTTTTCGACAACTTAAATACATTACTTTCCTTGATTTTCCTTATAAAAAAAATAGTTAAAATCATGACAAATTTTGCTCTGTACTGAAATTCATGACTTCCCATGATTTCTCATGTCTTTCCAGGTGCGCAGATACCCTTTTCATATTTTTTAAAAAATACTAAAACCTTTTAAGAAAAACATATTAAAAACAAACCATTTTGAAATTATTACTTAACAGCAAATATTTAATATTTGCTTTTATAATTAGCTTTATATAAAATTATTTTCAGCTAAAACTGTTATTAGGAATTAACTTCACATATTGCTAATAATCTGGAAAAAAGCATTAACTAATTTTAAAGTAACCAAAAGTTTAATTGAAATTTCAAAAAACAAAACAAAACATTAAAGTTGCAATGTTAACTGAACAAAATGATTATTAATAAAATCGAAAATGAGCGATAATAAAATCAAAAATGATTAATAAAACTGAAAATTATGAATAATAAAACTGAAAATTATTAATAATAAAACTGAAAATTATTAATAATAAAATCTAATTTTAAATTTTAATTTAATAGACGATAATAAAAAAAATTTTGATCGTTAAATATGTTAAATTTAATTTTTTATATAATAATCTGTTTATCCTTAAGAAATAAAAATAATAGAGTATCAGTCTAAAACCTCCAAAATATGGTTACATTTCAACAAAACACGTTATAAATAGTAACCAAATATTTAACTTTCTTGTTAGAAGCAAATCAAGCTTTCTTATCAAATACTTAGAAATAAAATTTCAAGTATTTCCGAAAAAGACCTAGGGTTTTGATAAAAATCTGATTAACCCCAGGTTTTTGATAAAATAAAATAAAAAATTTAAAAAAACCTAGGTAGGCTTGGATTTTTTAAAAAATTTCAGCTTTTTTCTTTTTTTCAAACTCTGTTTATTATAGAATTGTTTACTTTTTAGTACAATTGAGAATTGACCAATCTATTTCCATCCATGTTTTTTAATTTCAAGTTTTCTGTCAAAAAAGTACTTTTATTATTTTAATAAATATGGAATTATTATGAACATTTTATAACATTCTGAAAATGGCCTTATTTTATGCTTGATTTTCAAAATTTTTCATTTTAAAAATGAACCTTGTCATGATTACTATATTTTAAGATTACTATATTTTAAGCTTTAAAAGAAATACCTTATTAACTAGTTTTTTTAATTGTAAAAAATTTTCCTTTTTAAAAAAATAATTTCCTTTTTAAAAAAAAAAAAAAATATTGGACACATATTTTTGAAAGCGACAGCTGTTAAAAATATCACAGCTGACCACTGGCCAGTAGCAAAATATTCTAATTTTGCCCTGTACTAAAAATAAAGTTCAGAGTAGTAAGTTCAGAGTAAAGTAGTTTCAAATCAATGCACGGAAGATTGTTATATAGTACTGTTGCATTTAAAAAAATAACTAAAATCAGTTAATCACACAAAAATTAGGAAAGTCAGGCCAAAAAGCTAAAAATCAGGCCAATAAGCTAAAAATCAGGGCAAATTATAAACCACTCAACCAACTTTTCAAATTGGAAAAAAAAATAATAATTTAATAATAAAAAAAAAACAGGATCCAAATCAGAGCTTTGGTTTGCTTGACATTTAAAGTACACCTACAGACTTTAAATTTTATACACAGAGCAAGAAGATCATCCTTCAACATTTTGTTGGGATGTGCAATGAAAGAAAAAGAGAAATAAATATGAGGAAAAACATATGCAATTTAAAGAAAAATAATCCTGTTTTGATAGTTTCTTATGTAACAAATCACTCTACTCTCCTACCATAGGAATGCAAATTTTAAATATTCCTAACTTTTCAACTTAAATCATGAAACAGTGAGGCTGATTTTGTAGCTTACATTAATTGAATCATTTCAAACAATTTTTTTTCATTGTTGAGTTATAAAAATCATTACTGAAAGCAAGTTTTTTCAAAAAATAATAAATCATCAGAGAATTATAAACCTTGCAATTTCTTTTGTCATATTAATATTTCTTTCTTACTTTTTTAAAATTTAGCAGTCCCTTATCTAGAATCATCGGGACTTTGGCAAATCCAGAAAATAGATCTTTCCGAATAATAGGTATTTAAATTAACAAACCTAAAGTTGTTGTTTTTTTTTCATTTGATTAGAAAATTAACTGGACAGATAATCAGATAAAAATATCATTAAAAGAAAGCTTCATNCAAAGTAAATGTTTTTAACTAAAAAAAAAAGGAAGAAAAAAAATTATATATATATATATATAATAAGGTACAGAATTGAGATTTTGTTAGTAAAAACATTTATAATTTAAAGGAAAACAAAACTTTCATGCCAGGGTTTTCTTAATAATCTGCTTCATCAATATTCCCAGCTTATACTTTTCATTCCTGTTTGTTTTTCTTTAATTGCTCTCATCCTTCCAACTACTCTTTTTAGTGTTCTTATTGAAGCAAAATAAATATTTATTCAGGTTTCATAAAAAGCACCAGGAAGAAAAAAAAAATTATTTTTAACAAATCGCAAAAGAATTATTATTCTTGAAAAAAAATAAAGATATTTGTTTATTTTGATTGTAAAAAAGTGTCTGGAAAATAGACCTTTCTCAGTACCAGTAAATGGGACTTCATGCTGTATTAGATTACATGACAAATGTTGACTCATTAAATTTAAAATAAATCTCCCGTCCAACCTTGGCACCAAAATAAATTCTATTTGATTCAAAGACAATCTAGATAATACAGAATTGATTATCATTATTAAATATTAGAAAAATTAACAGTGAGTGTGTCTATAACTATAATAATAGATCTATACTAGGAAAAAAAAACTTAGATAGCTTGATTTATCCTAACACATTTTTACATAATAAATTCAAAATTTCTTGGTATTTAAAATTACTAAGTAAAGAGTGAACATTAGTTACTTTAAAACCAAATGAACATGAACCTTTAAAACCAGTGAACATTAGTTACTCTAAAATTATGAAAGCTTAATTCAGAAAGTTGTACTTACCACACATCTTAAGTTTTTCTTCGACTAATCGTATGGCTTGATCAATGTCTTCAATTTCTTTCACAATTTGACTAGGATTCTACAAAAACATAAATAAGGCTAAATAAACTATAGAAAACATTCAAAATTTTAATAAATCAATTTATGGTAATATTAGCTTTTCACAATAGGAACACGGATTTACAAAATTCTTAATGCCTTATATTACCCCAGATGTTACCATTCTGATAACATTTACAGAGATGTCAACTGCTCCGGACACGCCAAAATAATTATAATAATGGTAAATAACTACTAAGTAAATATTGCAAGTATTTGACTATTTTTGAGTGCTTTTTAAAAGCTATAGCATGACATAAGTACTATAAAGTGGTGAATTATATGAATTATTCAGAAATAGTGAGGGATAAAAATCTACTAAATTGAATTTATTAAACCAAGAATCACAATTGATAAACTACCACTTTAAAATATATATTTGCTCTCCAGAGCAAGTTGGCATCTCTACATTTGCCCCAAAATTATAGCACTTTTTTTAGCTACAATAACTTTTTCATAATATTTTTAGAAAGCATAATTCATACGCTGTATAAAAATTTCAATATTTTTATTTTTAATAAAGAAAAAAAGTTTATACAGGGGTGATTGTGAGTCCAACTCAAAAATCCGGAAAATTTCTTGAGTAAAACCATTAAAGACGCATAATGTCTTTATAAATTTAAATCATTGATATTTTCAAAACATTGAATTAATTATATGCAGCATAATTTAAATGAATATTTATGTATAAGTTTATTTTTATCTCTCATCACATTTATTATTCTACCAGAAAAAATATTTACAAATGAAAGATGCCAAGTATAAATTCTAGTTCTTCTTCTTGGGCACTACAGTCCATGACAGGCCAAGGCCGTCCCAATAAGTTTTTGCCATCTTGATCTATTCTGTGCCATGGCCTAGTTCTAATATTTTTAAATAAAATATTCAAGAATTTTTATACATAAATGTGATCGATGATTTCTTAAAGCTTCCGGAGCGCAGTTAGGGAAAAATTCGAAAGTTCGTATTTTTTCCGGAGCACAATCACCTCTGTTTATATCATTTTACACAATTCAGGAATAAACTAGCATGTTAAGTAAACTAGCAAAAGTAAGCAAAATCAAAATACTTTGAAATATTAATATTAGTAATAATTTATGAATTAAATTCTCACTCATTAAATTACCATTCATAAAATTAGGAATTTAAACTTATAAATAAACAAATTGACATATGCGTTTTTACAGGGGGGAATTTAGGAAAGCTAAATTTTCACAACAAGTTTTTTTTTTTATTGGACTAAAAATTTTACTAAGCTTTTCGGAATTTTCCCCAAACCTTGTTTCCGCAATCAGACACATTCTGCTCCCCTAGATGGGTATAATATGGTCATCCAGAAAAAATAATTTTTCCAAATAGATATATAAAAAGTGTCACAGTAAAAATTAAAATAAATTAAACTTTATTATTACATACTTTTTAAAAATATTTAAACTTTATTATCACATATTCTTTATAAGAAACAAAATCAATTTTGTTTGTTTATTTTAGCATGCTAAATTGTTTCGTTATTTGTTTAATAAAATTGTTGATTTAAAACAAATAATGCAATAATGATAAAAAAAACACAATATTTAAAAATCTACAAAACAATTATAAAACACTCAAATGTTTAACATAAAATGCATACACAGAAATTAACTTTATTCAATGAGTATTACCTATTCTACAAACAAATCAATGAAATTGAAAATGATACTAAATACTTACATCATCCTCTGAAAGAGAGCCATCAAGAGTGCTTTGCTCATTACAAGATGCAGCTGAAACATCTGTAATGAATTAATAATTTTACTCTTTAATGACATCAAAAGATTTTTTTTTAAAAAATTATTTACATCATATTTATTATTTTTGGACACAAAAAAATTATTTTTAAAGTTGAGCAATTTGAAACAGAAAGTTTGTAGTTAATTTATATATTAACTTGCATTAATATTAATTAAAGAGGAAAAGAGTCACATACTTAATCTTAGTGTGAATAACTAGAAGGAACTATTTATTTGATTAACTCATTGATGACAAAGTCAACATTTTCTACATGAGTAAAATCCAGGATTAGGAAAAAAAAGGCTTTTTTCCCACAAAAAAATCAGTTTGACGGTTTAAACCAGATTCAGTTTTCTTTTTTAAAAAAATACAATGTGTAAAAACATTTTAAGCCTTTAATTTAAATTAACCAAAATACAGTAAAATGTTTAAGTTTTCCATTTTGTACATTATTCTGTTTTCCCATGTCATTTTCTGCAGGTCCTTGAAAATTATTCATACCAACTATGTTCTATAGTAATATCTGGATTTTAAGTTATAATTTTTAAAAAAAATCCAACTTTATACATTTTTCCAGTAGATCAAAATCATTTTTTCTCTACAATGACAATATTTTACTTGTCTCACAGCTGTTTAAAGCTACATTAACAGACAATTTATGTTAATTTTAGTTTAAGTTCAGGCAATAAAACCTTTTAAGCTAACAAGACAACTTAAGAAAATTTAATTCTTCTAAACATTTTAAGTCATTAAAAAAAAAAAGAATTTTTTTAATACAATACTAAAGTGATTATCAAAAATTATAGCTGTCATTAGAGTTAACCAACTTAAAGAAGTGGATAATTAAATGAAACAACATAAGCCTTCACATACTTTTGCATTTAGGACTGGTTGGTTTTGAAGACTTTAAAATAGCTACTTCATCAACTTCAGATGATTCAGGCTCGTCAGAATCAGAAGAATCTGGATCATTTTGTATTCGTTTAAATTTAGAACTCTTCTTTTTCTTTAGAGACAATCTTGATACTTTTTTCTTTGTATTTGTGTTCGAAAATAAACTTTTCTTGTTAGGAAGCAAATTCAGGACACGGTCCAGCGGAGATGTAGTTCCGTCAATCTGGTTCAGTTCATTTGGATCAGCAGTTAATTTATTCTGTTTTTTATTGCTTTCATGAGACACAGGATTTAGTTTATCAGCAATATTCCTAAGTGGTGCGACTAGATCATCAGCAAAAGCCATAACAGGATCAGAAGAAAGAGCATCATACTCTTTCATCAAGCTAGCATAATGAGATGCAGTTTGACCGGGATTTAAATCTGACAATTCACTCAAGAAATCAACATCATCATCACGTAATGCTTTCTTGTATAATTCTTCGGAAGAGTCAGAGTTAAGTACTTTATGTTGATACACTGTTGTTGCACCAATAGGAAGAGTATTTTTCAAAATGGAACAATCTTCATCTTGATCCATTGAATCTTGAGAAGTATCGATAATTTCCACTTTTTTTTCAGATACACTAATAGAATTTTGATTTTTTTCTGAGCTTGCTTTAGAATTGATTAGGATATTAACAGAATCTTTCAAATAGTTTGAATCTGAGTCAAAAGATTTTTTACTATTTGTTTCCATATTAACGGGAGTCTCTTCAATCTGGACAGGGAACTTATAAGATGTTTTTCTTGATGGTGGAAGAATAATCTCTGTGTTGTCCTTAGTAGTTACATTAGAAAAATCTGAAACATCTTTTACAATCGACACATGTTTCACTTTAGGTTCTTCCAGATCTTTCACAACAGACATACTACGAATATCTTTCACATTATATGTATCAGGAACACAATTTAGATTACATGAATCAGTAGCTTCATTCAGTTGAGGAGTAGATTCAGAGTCAGAAAAAAACTTACTTAGAAATGGAAATGGATTGGACTTACGTTTAGCAGCCTCAGAATTATCATCAGCCTCTGAGCAATCAGATTCCACATTCGAGGATGGTAAAACAGCTGGTGAATAATTCTGAAACTTATCAGTCAAAGTTTCAAAAGATTCTTTTGACATTAAAGCAGGATTAGTTTTTCGGTGCAAGTCACTCATTTCAGGGATATTAATCAAATTAGTACAATGCATTTCAGATGTATTAGAATCAACAACTTTCAATACAGATACATTAAGAGTGTCATCAGCAACACAAATGTGAAGTTTATAACTGTCTGATAAAAATGGGAGAGAACAAACTGTCTCGGACTTTCCAGAAATAGTACTCTTTGTAAAATAGTCTTGAATTTCTTCTAATGTCAAACAAGTTCTCTTCACAACTTTAGTTTTTTCAGAAGTAGCATTTTCTTTGCTGCAAAACCATGAGATAGATTTAGGATGAGGAAATATTGCATTTGAAGTAAACGTTTCAGTGCGACAGCAAGGAACTTGAACTGGTAATGCTGGCACAAGTGATTCATTATGATTCTTTGCATCATAAAAATCTATTCTTTGCGATGTTTGTTGAGAATGTTCAACATAAAAAACATCTGATTCCGGTGAAGAATTGCCTTTAGAAAATTTTCCTATTTTTGATACTCTGCTTTCTTTTATGAATCCTCTAATTGGAGTTTTACAAATATTATCACTCCTTTCACAATTTAATTCTGTGTTGACTAGGTTATTCCCAGAAATGGAACTTCTCTCTTTAGCTGTTTCTAAACAGATAGGCAAAGAACATGGATGATATAAATTTGCTTCTAAAATATCCTTATCTGGAACCTGAAAACCAGTATCCATTGGTTCTTCAATCAAATCAGTTTTCTTTTGCAAATTTATTCCTTGATTCATCTCATCTCTCACCCCTTCATTGGAAGGAATGTCATCATCCGCAGCTTGCAAGATACAATCAACTGATTTACAACTATCAACAAACTTATTTGGTTGAGCTTCTGAAGTGTTTTTATTTCCTTCCACATTCAAAATAAGCTTCTCGCGGCTCATTTGATTGACACCATCTTTAAATGCATTCTTCTCATTCGTATCAGGCACCTCTAACATAGGTTCGTCCTCATCCATACTTTTTCTCATATCTTTAAGACTTTGGATTTCATAATCAACTAAGATTTCATTATCAAGAACTCTGTTTTTATTTAAATCTGACATTACTTTTGATGGGGATGATCTTTGACTTAAATCTTCTGCTGTTGGGACAGTTTCAGATATTTCATTGCACTCAGGCTGCTTATCGAAAGTTTCACATGATTTTTCATCACCATTACTGATTTCATTAACTGGGCATGCAGAGCTGTTTCTTTGCACAGACAGTCTAGAAAACTTTTTAACTTTAAAATCTTTTCCTACTTTTTTAACTCTGGACCAACCAGGAGATTTTGATGCTACATTGCCCTTATTCATTTGCGGACTTGCAAATGAGTGAACAGATACTACAGTATCAGAAATATCATCAATTTTAGAGTTCTTTGGATGAGCATCTATATATGATTCTTGCGGTTGCATAGTTACTCTACTTGGAATTTCAATTTCTGCTAATTCTTGACATTCCTGAGATACATTTTCATCAACATAATTATCCTTGTTCTTTTCGATAACTAATGCATGATTTTCTGCTTCTTTAATCTCTGAAATCAAATCTTCTTCAGCGGAAGAATTTGATACACACAAACCAGATTTATGAGGTTTTTTCTTGAAATTGGGTTTACATTTATTAGACGAGGTTTCAAAGTCTTTTTCATTTTCCTTGCTTAATTCATCGTTTTCACAAAATATTTCCATTTTGTCAGTCAATTTTGGATTTACTACTTCTCTGCTTTCTCTCTCAAAATCATTAGCATTATTAGTTTTATTTTTCAAAGCCAACAAATTTTTCTGGTTTTTTAAGATCACTTTATCTTGATTCCTGGAGATGCTTTTTTTAGTTTTTCTTCTAATTACTAGCTTCTTTTCTTTTGATTTCTTATCTGAAATTGAAAATGATTTTACTATAAAATGACTGCTTGTCTCAGAAAAATAAATTATATTATGAAAACATAAACTAATGATTCATACCTGTTTCAATGTCAGCAAGTAAAAGTGGCATATTTTCAACATCCACTTTATCCTTACTATCAGAATATATGTTTGTTTGCTGCCTGTCAGCTGTAAAAAAAATTTCCAACGATGGCAATTCATTAGAGTCATCATTGTCTGAAATGGCTGGGCAATAACGCTTAGTTGCTAGTGGTATTGCTTCTCCTGCTGAAGAACTAACTTCTTGATTGCGTAACCTATAAATATTAGAAATTTAAAATCAGTGTTATAGTTCAATAGTACAACATAAAATTTGTGGAAAACCTATGGCCAGTCAGTTTTTTTATTTTTTCAAAATTTACAAAAACTATTTAGAAAATTTCTAGAAATTTTTTATATCTTAAATATATTCAAATCATACCTTTTTTTATATAAATATAAGTTACCAAATACGATTCAGAACAGAACTATGCAAAAAAATATTCAATTATTTAAGGCGCATGCGCAGTATGAAAGGATTACTTTAAATGCCATAGCTAATGCCAAAAATAATTTAAATGCCAATTTTAGAGATTTTTTTTTCTTCGAATTTTAAAATATTTTTGCTATGACTAAAAATTACATTAAAATTTTTGTTAAAATATTTTTGCAGTTAAAATAAGAAAATGTAAGACAAAAAAAAAATTATTCTTTAAAACATGTCCATATTTTAATTGGTTAGCTTAAATTATATATGTAAGCTCAGTTTACAAAATTTTGTGCAGTTATTACAAATGATAAACATAATTCACACAGGTTAAAAGCTCATAACTATATTTTTGGCTTAGACTTCAAAAACACTTTTTTTCATTCATAATTTCTTGTCTGTTCCTGAAGCTGATGAAAACTTTAAATTTTATTGATATGTATGACTTATTAAGATGTATTGAATACATAAAATCATCTGCTGAATTATCAAAATATTAAACAAAATATAACAAATTATTAAAAAGTCAGAAAATCATACTTCTTTAAAGGAATCCCATTTTCAGATTCACCTGGTTCCTCTGGAATGAATTTTGAAAATAAATAAATTGTATAAACAAATAAAACATAAAATATATATGTGTGAGTGAGTGTGCGTGCGTGTTACGCTTTGAAAGCAATAACATTGTAAATTAATAGTGTGGCCGGTATTTATTGAAAAATATACAGGAAAATTCAGGAATCGTATAATTTTATTAAAGAAATTGTGGGAGGCCCACAAATGAGAACATTACATGTTAATGATTAGATAGAGAAAAGCCAATTGACCTTGGAATGAGGGTTTTTATATCTTTCTGGACAATATATTTAAATATTAATAGGTCTTATTAACGTATGACTGATCAATTTCCCAAGCTACTAAAGACACATCACATTTTCTGTGAGAATTAGATCAATATTATTACCTTCCTTGTGGGAAAGGTCTTAATATATAATTCTTTTAACATTACATAATATCCCCACCTCCTCCGAAGAAAGGTCTGACCAATATGATAGTCTATTGGTCAGAACTTCCCCATGCACTCAATTACAATTAAAATTAATTAAATATAGTATATTGTCTAATATTATGTATACATAAATAAAGTATTACAACAACATTTTAATAAAAGTTACTAAATATTTCTGCATAATTTTGAATAATAATAATTAATAACCTTATAAAAATTAATAATGAAAATGTACACATCTCCTTTTCGTGTTGAAAAGAATAAAATATCAAATATCGAACCATATCCAAAATATCTAAAATAAAAAATATCAAAACAAAATTTCATAATTTCATAATAAAGTTCTTTGAATAAACTGGATGCATTGTTCAGGCCTAAACTTATTACGTAAATGGTCACGCTGCACCCCACAGGTGCAGCGTGACCATTGACGTAAGTTTTACGGATAAAATATTTTTCTGAATTAAATATAGATATTTTATCTTATTTTCTGCCCTACTCAATGAAGCAGGTATAAATGCACAAATTACATACACAGGAAATGGTTACGAGGTGAAAAACCGCAGAACCTTCTTGTACCAATTGGCTAAACATCTTGTGATAGATGAAATGATCCGACAGAGGAGCAAGAAAAATTTACTTTCAGTATTTTGCTTTCGATTCGTAGACATCACGAAACAAACTTCTCAAGCCGCAGAAAATTTATTGTATGAAAATCAAGCCAAAAAAAAAATTGTGCAAGCCATGTCAAAAAAATAACCAACGAAAAACAAAGTACTTGTGCTACTTGCAGAAAATACTTATGCTTGAGTCATGTAACAACAATTTGCAAGGATTGACAGTCCTGCAAAAAGTCTTGTTCAGATGAAGATAGTTCTGCATCAGACAGCCTCTAAAATAATATTTTCATACCAACATGTGATATTGAAATAAGTTGTTCCTATATACAAAACTCTCAATGTTTTTTTATAATTTTACTTTCCTTTGTTTTTCTTTATGCTGAGCAATTATTTCTGATACTGTTTTTTAATAAATTTTACCAATTAAATAAGTTTTTTGATACTTTATCTCGCTAAAGAATCTTAAATAAGTAACAATTAACTATTTAAATTAGAATAAATTTCACTTGGCTTTCAAAAAATCAGAAACACATCATAGGTGCAACGCGACTAACCATGTCGGAAACAAGTGCGAGTCTAACAGAAGGTTAAAGGTCTTCTACAACACAAAGTCTCAGGAAAAAATTCTGTGCCTCCCAAAAGTAGTCATAAATAGAGGAGGTCGATGCATAGAGGTGGTTTTTCCTGGAGGTTTCACTGCATAAGCTAAAAAGAAAAGTATATAAGAAAATAAGATAGGAAAGACAAATTCACTTACTACTCAACATAATTTCCTCCGATTTTCTTTTCTTTGATTTCATGATATCCTACAAGGAAGGGAAAAAAAGCAATTATAATATTATTAAAAATCTAAAACAATTTTCACACCAAAACTGTAGCAATAATAAATAGAAAACAAATTTTTTACTTAAGATAGTAGGTTTCAGATAAAGGTTAAAAAAAATTTTAAATTTTATTTAAGCATCAAAACTTAAAACATTTGTAAAACCCAACTGCTTTGCTACATTACTTCAATGATGCCTCTTTATCGCAATTATCAATTGAGACTGTAACATGTCTTGGATAAGCATTTGCTCGTTCACTCTGTACTTAATATGAATATCCTTGGTCATACAAATTTGAAAAAGCAACATAGCAAAAAAAGTTGATAGCTATAACTTTCAAAATGTTATACCAAATTTAAAATATTTCTAGAATTTTCTATGTTACAATCAGTTTGTAAATCAATAAAACTTTTATAGTAAAAATCTATTTATTTAGTGCATTCGTATGAGAATTTAGTAAGCTAGGTTTATTTATTTCCATTAAAAAAATATAAAACAAAAAAACAGCATTTTAATTTCTTAAATTAAAATAAATACAAATTTCTATTTTTAAGACACATCATTTAAAGTGTAGTGAGTGTTCTATTGTTTACCTAAGACCTACATGAAATTAGTCCATTCCATAATTTATATGTAGCAATATTTTTATTGTACGAGACTGTTTGGGTAGATCATACTCACAAAATAAATTGCTATACTGCTGCACTAGGCCATTGTCTATTACTATAATAAAAATACTGGTTGTTTTAAAATTATTAAAGTGCACTAGGCTTTAAATATATTTCGCCAAATTATTGTCGTGTGATTTGAATCAAATTAGAATATGAGGATCTCACTCACTTCCAAAAAATTGCATTAATTTTTGTAAAAGGAAAATCTAGGTTTTGTATCAAATTGTATTGGGTAAGAAGAACACCTACAGTACAGAACCCGTTATCCGGAAATCAGAAAACCGGAAAACCAAAAAACCGGAATGAAATTCCATACATTTTCCCACCATTTTCAAAAAAAAAAATTTTTTTTTTCCTCATAAGATTTCAGGATTTTTTTTCTATTTTGAAAGATGTTTACCTTGCCATCATTTTGGAAATAATCATTAGTGTATTACTTCGTTTTAAGATTATTTCCAATTTTTTTTTTTTTAGTTGGGTTTAACAATAAAAAAAAACGGCTTTTTGTAGCGATTCAGAAAACCGGAAAAATCAGTTATCCGGAATAGCGATGGTCCCGATCGTTCCGGATAATCGGTTCCCTACTGTACTACATAAAAAAAAAACTTTTTTTCTGCACTTTTTTTTTAAAAAAAAAACCATGAAACACAACATTTTTACAAGATAAAACAAACAAAAGTAATATAATAATTATTTTATCTTGCATTCTTCCAGAAAAAAAAACATTTCTCTGAAGTAAAAATTGCATTAACTAATAATTTTAAAAGTAATATTAATTATTATACTAATACAGTAGTATACTAATTTATTTATTTGTTAAATACATAATAATTGTAAACTAAAATATATACTAATAAAATTAAACTAATACCATAAAATTTATTATATACTAACTTATGAATTATAGTATACTATTTAAATATAATTTTAAAAGTAAATAATAAATTGTTTCAAATAATTCATTATTTAGTATTGGTCATATCAAATAGCAATAGAAAAAGTATGCACATTTTACCAATAAGATTATGGCATTATTTACCTAAGCAAAGCAGTGCTGAAATTTTAATTCCACAAATCTGAGCTTAATAATTAAATTAAGTGCAATGAATTTTATATTGTTGAATAAAATTGTAGCACATTTACTGACATGTGCGTGCTAAAAGAAGAAATTATCTGAAAAGTTTCAGAAAGTATGGTTAGATTTAGATTATGTGTTTTTAGTTTCACAGTCAAATTAGATAATCGCTTCTCAATGTGTAGTTTTCTTTTTTTCTTTTGTACGCTGAAGATTATTTATGCTCAGTTAAATGAATATTAAATAATAGACTAAAAAAGAAACACTTATAAATTTTAAAGGAAAAAAAATTCTATCAAATAAATACAGGTGATATTCAGACATTTAAAAAAAAATCACATTATCTTATTTTTTCTGCATTTTATAAGTCACCATTGAAAAACAAAAACGTGATTTTAAAAACTATGAAATCTACAGCAATAACTGTGACAGAAAAAAAAGATTAGCAACAAGTCAAAACCATATGTATAAACAAAGTACTCATGTGAATTGGACGTGGCAAAAAAGGGTTACTTAAATGCAGAAATGAAAAATTACCATATTTTAAAAGCCGTGTGGAACTTAGCAATAAGTGCCAAAAAATCTATCCATAAAAACAATAGAAACATTGCATTAAATAATAAATACTCAAAAGCGCAATACTAATTTCTATTATGGTAATAATATGGCTATTATGGTAATAATATGGTTATTATGGTAATAATGTTAATGAAATACATCAAGATTTTTAAAAACCAAGAGAAATTTCAATGCTGTAAAATATTAAAAACATAAGATTCTATTTTATATAATAAAGGTGGAGGTGGCCCACCTTGGGACACTAGTTTTGCATAATTAATCCTTATAAAAAATAGATTCTTAATAAAAAGATATTGTGCATACAAAGTATTTTTAATTTATATAATCTATGTTTATTAATAGTTATTATTTCTTATTTTAGTAACTCATTAGACTTAACTAATGACAAGAATTGGAAGCAAAAAGCATAAAAATAGTGCAGCAGTTCATGCTAACAATGTTGAAAAATCTGCCGCAAATTTTATCATGGGAAATGACTTGTAAAAAAGCTGCTGAATACTACAGTATTAGTAAGACCACTCTGAACAGCCATTTTATTTCCTTAAAAAAAAAAGAGAGCAGCCAAATTATAATTTTAAATATACAGAGTCGGAAAATATTCACAGATAAGGAAGAAACAAATTTAGTAGATGTTATAAGCCTCCAAGTACCATTAAGGATTAACAATATGTGATGCACGATCACTTACACATGAGTGTGCTTCACCAAACCAAATGAACATTCCTCCAAACCAGGAGAATGGAGAAAAAAAATCTGGGAAGACCAGCATTTAATGCACTCAGAACCAGTAATTAGTGAAACCAGTAATTAGTGATTTATGCAATGATAACAGTGTTGATGACGCTTACAGCTTAGATGAAATGAACAGTGAGTGACAGCAAAATATTTAATGATAAGAAAAAAGTTTACCGACAAAAAGTAGTGAAACAAGATTACATATTGGAGATTTTGCTCATATCAAATTTGCTGGTAAAAGATCGGTTGTTGCCTTCGTAGGTTGCATTTAAAGAGTTGATGGAGATGAGTTATCAGTTTTGAGAAGAGTAAATCAATCTGCAACATTTATTTATCCCGAAAAAGAAGACAAATCATACATAGATTCAAATAACATTTTGTTAAAACTTAAGCAGAGCAAAGATTTGAACATTCTTTATGTTTGGTATTTGCTTCTGAACAATTGGATTTACATACAAGAAGTTGAAACTAACAAAATAAAACTTTATTAACAAAATTTTAAAAAAGTAAATTTATTTAGTTATACTATTTTTAGAGAATTTCTATTTAACTTTTCACATCTTTTTAACTGTCCCAAGGTGCCCAACTAGGAGGTACACTTTGGGACAAATAACACAGTAACTAAACATTTTTTTAAAATTTTTTCTATGATAGATACAAAATCAAAACCTAGTTAAAAATGCTTTCAAATGTTATAAGAATACTAAGTAAAATTTTGATAATAATTGATCAAAATAAAAATTTAAATAAAAAGTGCCCCAATGTGAGCCACTCTCCCCTACTCACTGAAATATAATTTTTCGATTTTCAGAAGTGTGTAGAGCAATGTAAACATGGTGGAATTGGGCATATGTATGGAGAAGAAAAATTAACAAATATCGTAAATATCTCATGAAAATGAGATCAGCACTAATTTTTCAAAAGTTCATGCACAAAAGGAAAAAAAAAAGTTGTCAAATTTGTGTTTTAGAGATAATAATATTGCCAAAACAACACATTTGGACCAACTTTTTTTTTATATATTTGGTAAGATCGGTGCAGGTGTGGGAACCTTGAACACATAATTAAATAAATAAAATTACAAATACATAAGTTAAATGGTAAAGATAATCAGTACATTGTATGCTGATATTGATGAAATGGTAGTTATTGTTTGCATATTAAGATTAAATTGCATTGTTGTATCAATTGGTAAATTAATACAACTATGGTGATTTAAGATTAAAATTTAAAAAAACGACCAGTGTTTAAAAAAAATTTTAAATTTTAAGTGTCACAAAAAAAAATAAAAAAACATCCCTAAATATATTATCACTTCAATGGCCTGTGACAAAATTTAAAAAGCTCTAAGGACTATTTAAAAAAAAATAAGAACTTTTAATTTGAAATAAAGAACTTATAAAATGTATTAATTATAAAATATTCTAAACAATACACATTTATTTTTTATTAATTAGGAAATGGGAATGTGAAAAATTTGCATACCTCTAAAACTATATGTAGTTCTGGACCAATAACATCTCTTAACTCTGGTGACTTCTTCTGACTTTCTCTTTGAGTATTTTCTTTAGGAAAAGCTACATGTGAAACAATAGAAAATAGTGAGAAATAATTTAGGAATAAATGTTTTTAAGTCATCTATATCAGAAAAACAGTTGTTAAAACAAAAGCTTAAAATCAGCAATTAAAATTACAATTTTAATGATTTGATTTATTTCTTTAAAAATCTATAATGTAAACAGGATTTGTACTAAAAAAATTTAAATAAAGTTTCTCCTTGACTTTTCTAGGTTTTCCAGGTAGATTTACTTTAAATTCTATATGTTAATATTTAATAAAAGTGTAAATTAGAATTATAAATAAAATTGCAACTCTGAGAAAACATTTATAAATTATTTTAATTTTAAAAAAAATCAGGTGATTTAAATTATGCTTGCTTTGATTAGAAATAATAAGACTAAATCTCTTAATCATTTAACTAATAAGAAATATACAACAGGTGTACATACGTATAAGGAAACACATAGCTATCCTTTTTCCTTCCCAACAGAGAAGGCAAGTGGAGAACAACAAGAAAAATTTTAAAATGTCAAAAAATAATGTGAGATGTCACTCAAAAGTAAAATTGAAATAATTCTTACAGTTCCTTCCAAATGCTTTCCCGCAAACTTCAGCAAACTTTTTAGCAGCATTTATTACCTTCTGTCTTTGAATGGATTTTTGTATTCTTCTAAAACAAAATTATTTCATTTTAGTTATAAAGCTGCATATTTTTACTTATGAACATTTTCAAAAATTTAATATGTATGACATTATGAAAGTGATATTTGAAACTCATATATCAAAATAATTTCTTAGTAAAAATAAGGAATTTTCAAAATTATGTCAAAAAGCACACCAATAACTGGCCTTTTTCTGCCCATCCCTGGTTCTGTAGGAAAAGACCAGGATGCGCATTGGATCTTGAGACTGACAGACAGGCTCAAACGGCCGCCTCAAGACTTATCAGTGGGCACCTAAAATGTGTGACCTTTGAATGTGGCCGCAAAATCTTCCCAACGTGCAGCAAGTGCCATCTGATGCCGGCCTCCCCCAATCATATCCTCGATTGCTTGGGGCTCGCTCTTGCGGATATCCGTGATAGCCCACTTCTGGTGCTTGACTTTGCTAGAGTTCACGGTCTCATGGATTTGATCTAGCTGTTGCTAGATCCTGAAGGATTGGATACAACAACATAACTGGCCTTTAAAAAAATTTAAATAATTTAGATTTACGATGAAATACACCCCGGATAAAGCACGTCAAAATGTGAACAATCAAATACGAGATTTATAACTCACAATTATAAATATATTATACGACGTTATATCATATTAAATGTATCATTTTAAAAACAATATGGAAATCAGTAGTTATATCTGCAAAAAAATGAAAATGATTGGATTTACAACGAAATCAGAAAAAATAAAATGAGCCAATAACTGATTACTCAAATTTGAAATTTGCATATCACAATATCATATCAAAAATATTAGATTTTTTTTTTAAATCATACATAATTTCAAAGCAATTACCATGGAAAGAGATTTTCTATTTTTTCAACAAAAAAAATTTTCATTGTGCTCAGAAGCTTACGAAGGCCTCACATCAAGCACGTTTAGGCATGCTTGTTAATAAAGCAAACACCAATCAAATTCAAAGAGGAGAAGCAACTTATTATATGATTGGTTCATCCGATAAGTATTCTAAACGCAAGCGAGATAAAAGTACCTCTATCGCACTTGTGTTATGCTTTCTGAACCATCTGCGCAAAGCGTCCAAAACCAATCCTAACAATGATATTCGCCTTAGTCACTAGCAGATGAAATGAAACTTATCAAGCACCTTTGAGTTTTAAAACCTTTTAACTTGATGAAGATTAACTGTTAACCCCTCAGTGTTTATTTTGATTTCAAAATTACGAGTAACATGCCAGATGAACACGAAAGAAGAAGAGGGTAAGACCTGCGACAGGTGTTCAAAGCAGTTCCAGAAACAAAGATTACTATGTTAAAAACTTCATGGTAAATTATAGTTCAGGTATGAAATTGTTAAAAACATTTTTTAATCCTGCAAGAGAAGATTCCGAGCACACCAAAACACAATTCGCAAATGGAAACATAAAAGATCGGCATTACCTACTTTGGTGTTAGAAAGAAATAAAGTAGAAAAAATAACTGAAGTAGGATACAGAGATGCAAGTGATAATGAAGCTGAGAACAGCCAACGTGTTGAATGATGAGTGATAAGAAGTTGATAAATCAGCTAATGTAGAAGAGGTTATTCTCGAAACATCAAATGATGGAGTAGAAGATACAGAAAATAGTGACAAAAAATTTACAGAAAAAGAAGCTAATACACTGGCAGTTGTTTCACTGGTTTAACTATAATCCTTCAGTCAAGGGCTATGGACCTTGGGTGACAGACAGTATTAATATCATAAAATAATGTGCTGTGTTAAATCTTCTATAATTGTCAATTATTTTCATTAAAAAAATCTTTTATAATTTTTACAGACATTTATAGTGTTAATCATTCATATAATATATATATATTTCAAAAATACTGGCTCATTAAAACAAATTTAAAATATGTATTCCTGGTTTAGTTTTTCAGCATATTTAAATTAGTTATACAGCATATTTAAAATAATGTAAGATCATAAATAAAACATACCTTCGAGTAAAAGGTTTTNCATTAAAACAAATTTAAAATATGTATTCCTGGTTTAGTTTTTCAGCATATTTAAATTAGTTATACAGCATATTTAAAATAATGTAAGTTCATAAATAAAACATACCTTCGAGTAAAAGGTTTTTTGCACAAGGGGCAGGGTCTCTGATACTCTGATTGAAGAGTTTTCGTGATGCAGAATCTAAAATAATAAATTCTTTTCAAAAACCAATAAAAATGGATAAGAATTAAAAAGTGTAAAATAAGAAAATATGCTCTAAACAATAGTTACAGGGGTCAGTCTAGGTTTTTCTGTAAGGTACCTATTTTGTGAAAATGTAGACATAATTTGTGAAAATTAAAAATTATATTAAAAAATTTACACAAATGTGGTAAAAATATGGATTTATTGTTTCTGACGGGAAACAAAAATAAAATTTTACATTTTCCAAAAGTTGAATTTGTGAAGGTACCGCTAAACGGTAGTAAATTTGGTCTGGACAGACCCCCAAGTTAAGTCTTAAAAAGTACAAATTAAAGAGAATGGTGAGCTGGGTAATATTTGAATGAGTTTACTAAACATCTAACCATTAAATATGCTAATAGTTTTGAAAGAAATGTTAAACATTTGAAAACATCTTCCATTCTTTCTGTCTGACCAAATTGGGTAAATTAGTCCCACAATATTTTATAATTACACAATACTATTCTCAAAGCATATATTGTCATTTATCTTACCTGCAGAAGAAATGTCCACAACCAACAGATACTGGATTTTTTATAAATTCAAGACTAGAAAAAAGAGTAATTAAAAAAATAAATTACACAATATAAGACATCAATCATAAAAATTAATAGCTTCAATTTAAATAAACAATTCAATTATAAAAAAACAAGACTTACATCAAATCCATGATGTTTTCATATTATACTTAGAAGGATATTTACTCAGTTTTAAAATTGGGGGATTCATAATATAAAATGCATTATCATGTTTGTAAAGAAAAATTACATTAGGGAATATTTTAGAGAAAAGAATTTTAAAAAAATAGTTGAACTTGTATAATTTGTTAGGAAAAATTACAAGAGAAAATCTATACATTACCAAATGGCACATTCGAGTGACTTCAAAATAGCACCAACTGAATTAGTTATCTTTTCTTCCAAAGAATTAGCCATGTTTCTGATAATATAAAAAAAGTTTATTAACATAACAACAATTTTAAAATCAAGAACACATTAGGTATAAGAAATTGCATATGCAATGCAAACATGATTTGGTACTAAGCAAATTTAATTTTATGTTACCTGTTTTATTCTCATTCGAAAAAGCAATATAGCCAAAGCTAGTGTTAAACAAAGGCATCAACCAAAGTCTAAATATACCAGTACCATGATAAGGCAAAGGATGGAACTCATACAGCAGTATATAGACGATTAGTTGAGATTCACAAGCACTTAAAACAGTTCATCTAATTGTGAATTCAACTAAACAATGCTAACCAAATTTAAAAACAAAAAACGTGAAACTGATGGAAAATATTATACATACAACTAACACGTAGGCTACAATAAAATAATGAACAAAAACGTTTTTAAAAAAGATAGCAGTTTGGTAATGACACAAACATTTTTAAACGTAAACGTTTGATAAATCGAAAATAATTAAGAGAAAAGAAGAAAACAATTAATAAATTTGTAAATTTAAGATTTTTTTCAGAGCAATTTGAAATTAACAAATAACATAGTATTACATAATCAACGGTTTGATTGACGATTACAATTTCAATAAATTTAATAAGCAGATTAATATTTGATTAATAATGATGTACAAATAGGCTAAGAAAAAAATATTTTCACATAAAAATTCGCAAATTTACAAAAAATCGTAAATAAAAAAACTTAATAACTACCTGAAACAATAAAAATTTCATAACACTATTAGCGCTTTAAATTTCCGTTTTCAATTTTGTAAGCTTTTTCGCGCAAAATAAACTAATGACATCAGATTATGCGGTCACAGTCAAAAAAGGCAATTGAAATTCAGATTTCTTTTTCAAAGTTAGAGAGAAAGAGGGCGTTGCTTAGCCGACACTGCTTTGAGGAAAATGTGGGTGATTTTAGAGGGATAATAGAATTTTTTCTAAATAGGCAAGTAAGGTATTTATTTTTATCACAATATTTTTTTCCCGCTAACGTGGATAATACTAATCCAGAGACGATCGGACTAATAGTTTTTGAATTTATAAGTGTTTTATGTACAAAAAAGCAAAAAAGTACAGATTTGTTCTTGTATCTATTTACGCATCTGATATTGCTATCCAATCCAGTTTTCTAAGTACTTTCTTTTATATACTGAATTGAATGAGAATCTACACAAGCCAATAGAATGGACAGTTTAAAAGTTTCAAGAATAAAAAAATACTATTTTTTGCATGATTTAGAAAAATTTTTTATTTTGCTATCTAGTAGGGGCTGTTTGAACATCTGTGGGGCACATTTCTCGATAAAAAAAATTTGTACAGAATTTTATGAAATAAAACATGAGTTGATAGAATAAATAGTTTCGAAGATACAAAGACTTTCTTCGTAATAAATGCTATTCAAAAATAATACATTTTGATTACAAAAAAATTATTTTAACTTTTGAAATATGATGATTCGCCTATTGTCTCACTCGATTATACGAGAAAATAGGCATAGGAAACAGTACCTCACTAGTCCGTATAGCAATGCAAAATGTGTAAATAAAATCAGGTTGCAAAATTGTATTTTTTGTACTTGAAACGCTTACAACTTATAAATTAGTTCAATCGTCTTGGGATTGGTCTCATACAATTACGTGAAAAATTGCGGCGGAAAATTTACATTACATGTTCAGATAGTTTCTGGATAGCAAAAGTATATACATCAGAACGTGCTTAAATAAGTATTGCTTACACATAAAAATTCGTTAAACTATTGAACTTTATGTCCTATTGACTCGTTTGTTCTGTCGTTCCATTTTGTTATTGATTTGGTTTTAAATGTATTAATACATTACTAAGCTTTCATTATTAAAACGTTGCCAATTTCCATTTAAAAATCTATAAAACATAAGTATTAAGACAACAATTAATTCAGCAACACTTCAATTATCAATTTCTGAACATGGAAAAGTTATACTTACTTGCTTGAGCTCTAACAACAGGGGTTATAAGAATTTTATCAGATTTTCGCTCCGGATTCTTTATGTGACATTTTTCGCATGTTTTACTATAATTTTCAAAATTTTTTGAAGCTTTAGGCCAATAAGAAGATACTTTTATGCATTCCTTAGTTTTCTCATTCCTAAACAATTTTCCTTGTGAGCTAATTGAAAAACTTTTTCCCGATAAATTTTAGGTAANGTAAATTTACTTACAATAATATACAATTAACTAAATGATTTTATATAGAATTTAATTACTTAAGTATCCATTGTTTATTATCGAATTTTGAAAAATTTGTCTATTTGTTTTTTGGATAAATAAACATTACTACAAATTCTTTTAATTCTATTCATTTGATTAAAAATGGTATTTAAATGGATGTTTTTAGAAACATTAGAATTATTTACATTATTTATATTAAAACTAAAATAATTTCTTTTATCGTATAAATCAACAAAGCAGATATTTTCTTCTTTTATAATACCCAATTCTAAAAAATTAAAATTATCCTCATGATTATGAAGCAAGATTAATTTCTCACGGTAAATATTATTTAAAAAAATAGTACAATCTTGAAAATTAAGGATTATTAAATCATCAATAAATCTAAAAACAAATTTAACATTAAGAGTATAATTTTTTTCATAATAGTGCAAAAATAAGTTAGCTAAGAGAAATGAAAAATTTAATCCTAGTGGTATTCCATCAACTAGAAGAAAAAATCTTTTCCATTGTAAAGAAAATTATTAAAAAGATAAAAATAATCAAAAACGCAACTAAGGATATTTTTAAAATGATAGTAATAATTCAAAAGGAAATCTTTTAGTTTAGAAAGGGGAATGCTATTGAAAAGATCCTGGAAATGAAAGTCGCAATAGAATTAATTTTATTCTGTTAAATAAATTCTAAAATCGTATGATTATTAGTGATAATCCAAGAAAAACCTTCTTTAATAATATTGTTAATAATTTTATTTAAGTATTTAAAGAAAATTGTGCCAGGTTTAGTTAGGTAATTATGTTAGACCCACATGCGATTGTTCTAAATTTTATAGGAATTTTATGAAATTTAGGACTGATAATTAAGTAAGGAGATTGTATATTGCTAATTTTAATTTTTAACCTCTTATGTAAAGCCAAAATTTTTTGATGTCAATATTATGATTTAAATTACTAAGTTGAAAATTTTTACTATTTTTTAACTCGGTATTTAAAAGTTCAACATAGAATTTTTTACAGAAGATTACATAGTTATTGTTAGCTTTGTCTATAGGGGTAATTAAAAATTTTTTCTGTAGTTGCTTAATTGATTGAACAATTTTAGAAATATTTGTTGAATTGTTATTTAAATTATCCTTATTATTGAAAACAAAGTTTTTAAAGTAATAATAAACACCCTATTTCCATTCTGTTAACAAACCTAAAGATTAAACGTTAACATAAAAACCTACCAATCTTATATTTTTAAATTTGAATACATAACAAAATCTAAGGCATTTCATACCAAAAAAAATTACAGTAAATCATTAATTAAGTTTGCTCGTAGCATGTAAAATTCAAATTATTTGCTGTTATTTTTTTCTTCTAACTCTAGCAATTCAATTTTTTCTTTCTTATTACGGAAGTTTTTCTTAAACTATTAGATTTTAACAGCTAAGTCATATCATTTTGTTTCCCTGCTTGAACAGCAAATTAATAAGTGGACTTAGTAAGTTCATCTATGCAACACAATAATCTAAGGAGTTTCTAAGGACTAATTTTGAAATCTAAGTAGTTCCAAGTACTCCTTGGAGACTTTTTCATTTCCAAGGAGTTTCTAAGGAGTATAAGGAGTCTGTATGAACCCTGGATATCTACTTGAAGACACGAGAAAAAGAATGACATTTTGTTCACAAATATAGTTTAAAATTACTAAATTTAATTTAAAAGAAATAATTAAGAATAAATCATAGAGCAAAAAAGTTATTTTATAGATTTATTACAGGGTTGCTACTCAAATCTGGGAAGAAAAAAAAAGCTCCCTGCGTTTTCCCTGTATATATTATACACAATATACTAAGAGGAAACACACAATTACTGCGCAAATTTGTATGCTATATCAGGATAACTAATACTAGCTTTAATTGCTAGAAAAACTTAAATAAGGAACAGTTTAACATACATAAAAAAAATAAAAATACAGCAAATAAAATAGTAAAGTATAACTGAACTATATTTAAATACCCCATAGATTGCACTTAAAGAGGACAACATTTTGTAAAAAAAGAAAATAAGAAATAAATATTCCTTGCATTTTCCCTGTTAATTTAGTTGATTTTTTAATTCCCTTTATTTTCCAGGTTT